GGATAAATGTGGTAAATAATAAATGCCATTAGTATTAGTACTCTTCCGTCTGAGATCAAGATCTGATCAGACGGGTAGCTAACAGCTAAGTAACTAAATTCAACTGCTTTATCCTCTATTTTGCCGGCATAGTTTTTCTAGTAGAAAATATTATTTTATAAAGAACGAGCAATACACATCACTATGGATCTTACGATGACCCTGAGGCGCAAGTACGGATCTTGTCTTCTGCAACATCTAAACGTATAACCATTCCCAACAAACTCCAAGACATGTTCATACTTCAATAGCTAAACGGTTCCGCGTAATAGTTTTAGAGCCAAACCGGAACTGCAGTTCTGGTTCCGGCTATGGGTACTTTTCGGAATCGCAGACCTCTACCAATAAAACAAGTTTTGGAAGTGTGCGGCTACTTATTGTTGAGCTTACCCAAAGTCTGCTGAAATATTATTTGCTTTGAGTCTGTTTTTATTTCTTTTTGCATGGCAGTAAGAAAAGAAAACGCTTTGAATTTATTTGATAGATAAATGAGCACACATTTTTTGGATAGCAAAACAAGTTTACTTTTTTTATTGTTACAGATCCCATGGCTATTTTGGCAGCAGCATCAGCAGCGAAAGCATTGCCGTCTGCTTCTGGATCTTCAGGCTAACTGTGCTATTGCTCTACAATATACTTTATTTTACAACTTCATTTGATAAATTGTCTACATGAATTGATTGATCTTTGATGAAAAATTTTTTCTAACGTAGTTATTTATTGTTCTTTACTTATAATCATTATATAATCCCGCTTCATGTGTTTATTTGTTTGTTTCTCTTCTTTCTTCAAATCCAGAAACGTTTCAGCGAGTTTTTCCTTTCCCGGTTTTAATTCAAACTAATTTTATGGAATATTGTTTATTCAAGAAAATATCATATGTTTTGAAGTTCAAATAACGCCGGTCTTGAGGACTCCCTCGACCCATAACAATGTGCGGGTATATATAGGGTGTGGGCTGTGGGTGTGGATGTGAGCGTGGCTGTGGGTGGGTGTGTGGGTGTGGGTGTGTGCGTCTGAGTGTGGTAATCGATATTTGATTCATCAACGCACAGTCACAGCCACACTCCACCCCACACCCCACACCCCACAGCCACACCCCATACCCCACACCCCACACCAACAGCCATAGCCACAGTCACACCTCACACCCACATCTATGGGAACTATATCTTAATCTCTTACTGCATCTTTATAAATCCATTTTTCTCGATGGTCTTCCACGCTCAGGACAGCCTATGATAACCGGAGTCTATATATGACAAAAATAAAGGAAATAGATGTGAATGACTTTGTCACATTCTATGAATCAAATAATGAGTTCATACAATGAGCCTAGCAAATAGCGTAGAGCATTATTTTCATGGAATGGAAATTAAGCTGTATCGTGTTTCACAGCAGTAACTATACTATATGCTTTCTTGATATATAAATAGTACAGAAATTCAACCTCAACCATTATCGTTAGTCACTGTCTGCTTATCTATTTCTACACATCCAACAAAGACCAGAGAATGGGTTGTCAAGAAAAAACTACACAGACAGATAGATCCCAATCTATAACACATAAAGTATTCGGTTTAACACTCAAAGATGGTCTCAAGTTTATCTCCTCTTTACTATTGCCACTTGCATTAGGTGTCTTCACTGTTGTAATCACTGTTCAACAACAGAATGCAGCTAAGCAACAGCGTGACGAAGATAGAAGTGCATCTCAACTGCAATACGAACAAGAGACAAACTTGAATGACAAAAGATATAAAAATGAACTTTTCGATACTTACATTAAGGAGATGGGTCAATTGTTAAAGACAAACAATGGATCACTAATCTCTAATGAAGTCATAGCTACACTTGCTCGAGCTAAAACTCTGAGTATCTTTCGTCAACTAGATGCACAACGTAATATTCGCATTATTCGATTTCTGTACGAAGCCAAACAGCTTAGTAAAATACACTAGCATCTCTCATTGGATCTTTCGACAGCAGAACTTCGTGATATGGATTTTCGTGATTGATCAATCAATAACAGGAAATTGAATAACTTAGCATTGGCAGGTATTTTTCTATCCAATGCTACATTCGTAGGCGTTAAGATGGAGGACATCAATTTTGCTTGTGTTCACTTCGACACAGTCAATTTTTCATCTGGACGGCTCGATAATGTCAATTTTGTATCTGCTAACTTCGATAATGCTAATTTTTCATTTACTGTTCTCTACAATACTACTTTTTCAAAGGCTCGATTACAAAACGTAAACTTTTGTCGTACTAAACTTCATTCTGTTAGCTTTTCATTAGCTACACTAGATAATGCCAATTTTTCACTGACCCGACTCGACAATATCGACTATTCACTTTCCAAAGTCGACAATGTTAACTTTTCATTTGCCATCCTTCGCAAGACCAATTTCTCATTTATCGTGCTCTATAATGCTAGCTTTTTATCTGTTTCGCTACTCAAAACCAATTTGCTACAAAGCCAGCTGGAGTATGTGAGTTTTTTATTCGTTTATGTCTTCGATACCTCCTTTTTTTATCTGCCCGACTCCATAATATTGACTATTCATTTGGCATATTTCACAATGTTAGTTTTTCATTCGCCCTGCTTAGCAATGTTAAATTTTCATCCGCTGGACTTTACGATGTAAACTTTTCATCCACTGAGTTGAGCTACGCCGATTTCGCACACGCTCAGCTCGACAATACTAATTTTACATCCGCAAATTTAGGTAATGCTCAACATAATTTTGTCTCTTTTTTTCAAATCTAGTAGTCGATTACATTTCTAGTATCAGCCAATTTTCACGATGCGAGAATGTCTCGCACACACTTTCAGCAAGCTATTTCTATTGCAGCTGGTTTCACTAATGCTAATTTATCGCACTCTACGTTCATGGGCTCTAGCTTTAAGCATTCTATCTTTAAACGAGCTGACTTGATCAAGGTTGATTTTACCCTTGCCAGCCTGTACATGGCTGATTTTACTGGTACCAATATTACAGACAGACAACTGCGAAGTGCTCTCTCCATTCACGATGCTCTACTATCAAATGGAACACGTTCTCATGATGCAAACTTGCTCAACAATGGCCAAGCTGATTGCAACATTTCTCTTGTCGACAGTTGGATATTAGAAACTGGCAATGTAACTACACTTATGTCTGACAAGAATAATACTAACTGCCAGTTTACCTTACAGTCACTTGCTACTGGAGCTACTATGTTACAACGCGTCAATTTATTGAACAAGTGGGACTCTAAGTCATGGCCATATTCCCAAGCTGTATTAAGTGCAAGTATGAGCATATGTGTATCGATTCAATTGAGAGGAATCAACAGCATCGGACACATTCTTGCTGAGAAAAAGCTAAGTAAGTTTCAGCATACTAGTATCGACTACGCTACATCTTTTGTATACAGATTCGACTAAAGGTAATATCAATCTAGTTTTGGATGATGATATGAGAGAACTGGAAGTGACCATCGAGTTTAGTGCGGTCGACAATTAATTCAAGTTCCAGTTAGTAGTGATATAAAGCAATTTTGAATGAACTGTCACGATTGCTTTACATTTTACTTTTGTTAAGATATGAACTGAAAAATTCTTGCAAAATGGAAGCTTTCTACAAAGTTTTCAATGGTCATCGCTAAAACAAATATGTTGGTTACATTTTTACTAAGATGACTTTTGTATGAAGGATATGAGTGTAGACAGAAGTTACATAGACATTCACACACACGCCCAGATCCACATCCACACCTATCCATACTTGGACGGACTATTCACAACCGAACTGACCTCAGTCTACATACATGACTGTCACCACACGGGTCAGTTCATTTCGATCTCGGTTGAGGTTCGAGTAAGTAGGCTTAGAAATCCTGAAAAAAGCATTCAGTACCCAGAAACTCCTGCAGGTATCCTTTAAGTCTCTGTGAATCAAAACGAGCTTGTATACCACGATGAAAACACCTACATCTCCGAATCCACACCTGAACAGGTAAAAACTTTCTCATCTGGCAGTATAAATTACTTATAAATCTCTTTTTCTGAAGAACTTTCTCAGTATGTTTGATACAGTTTCCCACAACGTTCTAAGTGAAGCACTAATATATGATATCTGGACATACGAGATTGATTCTCTTCAGATCTTCGTCTTTGTTTTAGTTGGTTTCTACGCAGAAATCGGAGTTTTTTTGAAAAAATGCGTTGAAAGGCCTTTTTTCGAAAATTCGTAAATAACTTGATTTCTTCATTGAAATGCATGAATTCTGGTAGAACAAGGCACTTTAAACCATTTTCATAAGCTACACTTTTATATTAGATGGCTCCATTGTGGAAAAAAGCCTTCTTTTGGGAAACTTTAAAAATAGATGATTTTCAATGCAATTGATAGAATTCTAAGAGATAAAGATATTGTAATGCCTTTTCGGGTCGTTTTCGCTAACGTCAACTGTTGTCGTAATGATCGATCTAGGATGTTTCTGATTCTCTCGAAACAATCGTATATGTGCGTTTTCGGTGATATTACGACAGTAAACGTTGGCGTATCATGCCATGTAAGTCAGAAATACGGTCGTTTTACGGCGCATATGCTAATGTTAATTTTTGTCGTATTATGCAGCTTACGGCACAATGATATACGGTGTACACCAAATCATCAATTTGTGGCACGTTTACAACCGTATACTAGCCGTTTCCTGTCGTTTACGACATCGTCAGCGACCGTGTACGGTCGTATCTGGTCGTCATAATGCTCGACCTGGAATACTAGATAATGAAGAAAATGATATACAACACACAGCCATTTATTCTGGCTCATCCGTTACACGAATCAAGGATCCCTATATGACGAGGCATATACTAGGTAAATTAGAGCATGTATAATGGTGTTTGATAAGTCATAGAATTATCTACAGAAAGAAAAGTGTGACGATCAATAGTTGTCATTTCAAGTTTATGATATCTGTTCGTCTCGACGCTGCAAACGTACAATCATGTTTTTTGGTGCAATAACTTTCAATTCTTCGAGTTGTTCAATCGATTGGCGCGTCTGTTCACCACAATCAATAATAGAATAGATTTTAAGAAGTCGAACCAGTGCTATTTTCATTTCCATTAGTGCAAATCGCATTCCAACACAGTTTCGCGGTCCAACACCGAATGGAATCCATGCAAGTGGATGCCGCTTGGTAGTAAATCGTTCTGGATAGAATGTATGCGGATCGACCGGACCCCAAAGATCAGAATTGAAGTGCAAACTGTGATGATTTGCAGTAATACTAGTACCAATCGGAATGACGCCTACACGGTCGATATGAAACTCTTTCGTATTCTGTCGAGTGACGACATGCGGTGCAATTGGATACATACGGAGAGTTTCTCGAATGAACATATCTAAGTAGTTCATTTCTGAAATCTTTTCATAATTTGGAATATCACCTTCAGTAATCAAATCGAAATATGCATCGATATGTGCTTGTAATTTACGCTGTTCGTTTGGATGAGTGGCAAGAACATACGACACGTAGGCAAGTGCCGTACTTGTCGTTTCATAGCCAGCGATCACTTATAATTGGAAATATAATTAAAAGAAAAAGATCGAGATAAAAGCGAATTTACTCACTAAAGAGAAAAATATTTGAGGCAATTTCGGATGTGGTCATTTTTCGAACCAGCGGTGACTCAACGTCAGTGTTAACATTAGTTTCGGTTTTCACTGGTTGATCCTTTGAAAGTAGAGAAAAGAGTTGGACCAAAATATAGTAATTCAGTTGTGTAAAAAAACACATAGCTCGAGATTGAGAGTGAGACGTAGTTATGGTTCTTATCATTAAAAATCGTCAGTTTATGATGCAGGGATACCAGAGATTTCCAGGACCGTACACAGACTGATCACAATATATTGTCGGAAGTTTCAAACTAATCAAGAGCTTCAATGGACAAGAATGGACAAGTAAAGACTAGTAAAATCTAATGAAGCTGTGTAGATGAACTTTATGAATGTACAATCTCGATATGAAGCTTTTAATTTTTAGCGCATTTCAGATATGACGGAGGAATAGTCGAGTGCGAATGCTTCTCTATCTCGGTTTGTTTTAAAACAACCGAGTTGAGCCCAACAAATCTTGGAGAGTTGATTAGAAAATGAAGTGCATATGTCAAAACCGAACGGAATGAGCAAGGTTGTAAGGAGCAGCGATCAAACATATCTTAGCAGAGAGGAGACTTTTTGCAGATTTGATGGAGACATCACAAAGTGAAAAGTCTCTAGAGTCGTTCTTCTTGACGATCTATGACAATGATGGTATTCGATCAAAAAGAGAAATGACGTCTTACTTTTATGAAGTCATCATCCGAAACGGATCCTAGCATCAATTGTAATAGATCCATTCGGTTTGTACAGCCCAACTCGATACGTTTCTTAATTAATTGTTTTGCCTGTTTCTCAATCCACATCGATGGTTCATCGCTGATAAATCTTCGTGTCACAGGTAGATAATGACGAAGCAAATATCGAAGAGCGTTATCGTATTGATAGAGTCTAACCCACAGCCATTTGAGTTCGGAAACGAACACATACAAAAGGATCAGCTTAGTTATAGAATTCTCTTCGGCAAATATTCGTTGTGATTGGACAAGATAGGGATCATTTGGATTGTTCTGCATGTCAGTGTCGAGACCGAATCCACATGACCAAATTGTATCCATTGTAAATCTCTTAAAAAAGGGATAGATATCAAACGGTTTATGATGACGATGTTGGTCAGTCAATTTTTCCATGAATGCATCGACACTTCGATTGATCAAAGGCGACATTTGCTTGAGTTTGGACGATGAAAATGTTGGATTGATGATGAAACGTTGCCGTTTCCAACGAAGACCCTTGACAGTAAATAGATGAGCATTTTTCGCGTAAGGATCACCAATTGGAAAATCACGACGCGAATTGAAAATAGAGAATGATTTAATGAATATATCTTGTAAAATGTCTGGATCGGATACGACAAGAATGGGTCTGTGTCCTTCGAAATAACCAAATATAGGCCCGTATTGATCGGTCCATTTTTGGAGCAATAACGAAAATCGTTTCGTTTTCAGAGCATCCAAAACATTGCCAAAAAAAAATTGCGGCGACGGACCAGGAATGCCGAGGCGAATGAAGAAACTATACGCTCGATGAATGTGCCAGCCATAAGAGAAAATCAAAACGAGCAATATAACAACGAGAATACTAGTTAGCATGAGATACTGCAGTCGACTGTGTGCTTGTTTTGATTGTGGCTCAGGCTATCAAACAAAAAATTGTTATTCTCCGTTTTTTTTTCTTTCTGTTTCTTACCCTTACTTTGTTTTTTTCTGTCGGATCTGTTATCTTTCTCGTTCCTGAGGGGATGAGGGTGATGATGAGTACAGCCACCATAACTAGTTTCACCTCAGTAAAAAGACTCATCACATGGTTTAATATCTTTATCTATGATATAATGAAGAATCGCAACAACTCGAATTTTCAACTGCTACATAATCTAATTCAATAACGAATTGAATTATATAGTATAAATTCCAGTTTGCAGTGCACTGAAAAAAAGGGTACCATAGGAAACCGAAGAGAGTCTTGTGCACTTACAAATTTTCGAAAATTGTAACGAATTCGGATGTGAATGTGAATGTGGATATGCAAGAAAAGAAAACCCACAATCACACGTACACCCCATACCCATATCCCAGTTGACAACAAACGAGGCAGTTTATATGAATAGAAACCCGATAATAACTTTACACTCCTTGGGGTGTCATTTGAGTAAATGGTCTAACCATACACGAACTGAAAACAGCACTAGCCAATGTCTGTGCTTACGTAATATGAAGCCTTGTGAGACATTATCCAAGTGAAAAATGGGCGTTTTCTGTGAAGATATGAAATGAGACTAGCAGCAACTTCACCTACCTTTTTTATATATGCTTACAGTTTTCTACTTCGGAACCTTTTCTTCAACTTACTCTTTAGAGAATACTTGTGTTGACTTCCCACGACATTCTTTCATAGGCTGATTTCCAGGGTGTCGGTGGGGGTGTGGGTGAAGGCTTAGAGTACATATACCCACACACCCACACCCATCCACACTCACATCCCACACCCAGCGCCACCATATAATACACCGATCGGCAGTTAATATTTTAAAGTTAGTAGTTTAGCAATGATGGCGATAATTTGACCCGAGTATGGTTAGGTTATTAACTGATAATAGAAAGAAAGCAAATTGGAGTACCATGTCGACTGACCACGCCCATCCATATATCGCTTTTTGTCTTTGAAAAGGCTGAGACGGTAATAAAATTGTAAAAAGCACTGTTTCACATGGAAGCAAAGAGATAAAAAATTGTACAGTTTCAATGTGTATTGGTAGCACTGGACGCTGCTGGCCTGATTTATTACGTGAACTGTCGTATGTATCTATTTCTTACTTAATCATTGCTTCTAAAATTCGTATTTGTTTTTCATCAATCTAGAAAAGTTCAAATTGCTGATGGACTTCATGAACGGTGTTTTTTTTGCTTTGATGTTAATGGTGATACAGATATTACCCAATTAACACTAGTTGCTGAAAAACAATTTTATGAAAACTTGTGTGATGATTTACTGTCTTCTACATCAGTAAATAATCAGCTGAAATTCTCACTTGTTTCAATTTTCTTTGTCATCAAATTGTTTGGTTTTCGTACTTACATTTGGTCAAGAAAATCGTTTTGATTTTTACAACCTAGATTAAACGAGCTGTAAACAAATAAACCATGTAAATTGATTTATAACACAACAATACTCCGAACAAAACAACAAATAGCAATCAGTAGGTGTATTGCAGAACATGTAGCGTGTTATGGTTGTCTGATCCAAATGCTTATTAATGGATTATATGTTCTAAAATCAATGGATGAAAATATAATCAAGTGTAGTGGTGAAGGTATAAGTGAATTGTATGAAATAGAAGCGAAAAACAAAGTAGCTATTCATTTGAAGAAGAAACGACTGTTTATTATTTTCTTTCTAATTCTCCATTTCAGATAAACAACTTATTTGGCACAGCTTTGGAACGCCATAAAGCTTTTCCTCAAAATGGTGTTCCAATACAGCCATTAGAAGTTGGTATTCAAGCAGCTACATCTGCAGTTGCTTTGGTATTTTCGTTTTTATTACCACAAGCTGTATTGTTATTTAATTATGAAAGCTTCAATGAAAACAAGTTGACTGGAGAAGTAGCAATTGATGATAGAAATCTGAAGATGACAAAACAAGAAATGACTGTTCTTCGAATAGAAAAGTTTATTATGAAATTAAAATGTAATTTGTTTTTTCAAATCATGTATAACAGATCGTCATTTTCGAGATAAACGTGTATTAGTGGGTATTGTTTTGAACGATTTTGTTGAACGCCATTTGTTACATGAAGGACATGATGATGCAGTTTTTTTTGATACTGGATGTGCTTCATCAATAAAAACTTATTTAAAATATATACCAAGTGCTAATGATGAGCAACGTTTTCGTGAAAATCTGATGCGTCTATACAATATAGAATATGAAGATTATAAAAAAAAATTGAAGATGCACCATTATTACCACCTAATTGACAATTGAAATCTTATGGCTTTGAATTTATTCGTCAACCACAATATGAATCAATTATTAATAAAGAAGGTGAATCATTTTAACGAGTATTTTCATCGGACGATGTATTGCAAATCTAAATCATTATCTATTTATAGATAATAACAATTCGAATAAATCAGCCGCTGGCAGTAATATCACCCATGAACCAACAACATTAAATTTGCAAGGTAATGATCTCATTTTTAATTCATGATCTGAAAATAGTCATGAAACCTTTTTAATATATTTGATGCACTATTAAATTATTTTTAGTAGCTCGAAGTGGTAATAATGATAGTCAAAATACACAATCAACATATGATTTCAAGGACATAAATCAACGTTTATCAATGATTCCTGTGGATAACTCGATTCACAATAGAACGACAGTAGATCGTAATTCAGAAAGTACTAAAGGTATTGAAGTTGATTTAGGTAATCCATATGAACAAAACTTATCGTTAGCAACAAGTATTGATATCCATTTGACTATATGAGAGTTCAACATTTTTGACATGTAAAACATTTTTTATAATTTTACTGACTGTAGGTACATGGTAAGAATCAAAAGATCATGCATTTGCTAATTATTTGGTCAAATCGGGTGAAAATTCTTGCTTTCTAAATAATTTAATGCCATCGTCCCTATCTGAGATTGTACATTCGAATGCCTTTTATTTTGTTTAGACTCTCATAATTATCAAAATATATCATCAACACAAACTCGTGATGAAGAAACCATAGTTGATTAATATGTAGCTCTTGTTGTTGATGATGATTCACCAAACATTTTATTATCAATAGATGAGAATGATATAGAGACATCGGGACAGAAGCCGATATCAGAAAGTGTGGATGTATCTTCCAAACCACATGATATTGATTCAGGTGAAGTAAAATATAAACTCAATTGATTCATGACTTTCGTTTTGTGTTTTTTCAGAAAAAACAGTATCAATAATAAATCGGATTAGTGATAAAGAACTTTAAAAAAATTTATTAATCCCTTAACTGTGAAAGTTTTTTAAAGCTAAATAGTGAAATTTTCGAAAAATAACATTTCATACACAGGAACATAATCGAATAATCAATATGAAACATCAGAATCAGTAGAATGAGCTCCAATATGTGCAGGATGTTAGAGTCGACACAAAGCATACAAAGAAAACAGAGTTAAAGAATTGTAGTCTTTATCTTTTCCATAAAGATTGCTTTGATGAGTATACTCGTTAATAACAGTTAAAGGACTAATTCCATCAATATTAATAACGAAAGGATTAATTACATTACATGTTAAAGTAAGAGCATCTGAAATTAAAGATGCACTAAACTACTTATTAGAAAAGCAATTATTGATAAATGGTTAATATTTAATGTGTGGCAAACGTCAAATTGAAGCTTCTTTAAAATATGTTCCAGAAAATCTTGAAGATCGAACAAACAAGTATTTATTACAATGATGCTTATTAGATATTGATGTTAACGTCAATGAGTATTTTGGATCGTTAAAAATAATAAAGCTTGTATCAACTTCATTATGTCCATCAAATTTATTAGTAATGACATTACAAGAAGCACCATATGATCGATTGAATATTGATCTTTCGACATTACGTAAAGGTATATGCATGTTATATTGGTCAAATACGGCAAACAAGTCACTGCCATATTTTTTTTTCTAGATATATGTAAAGAGAAAACAAGTTATCAAGATGAACTCTTATCAAATGATGAAGGTCTAGTTAATGACAATGGAAGAAAACAATTTAAGCCAAATGGCGAATATAAATGATAGCTACTATTGTATTATTGATTAAAATGAACATTTCTAATCGTTTTTCAAAATGTTGTATTCTCTTCTTTTGCTTTCATCACAGTTTTGTCGAGTGACATCATGTTTTTGTTGTTGCACTCAGTTCATTCGTTAAGATTTCGGAATAAATAAAGGGTGTAAGTGTGGATGTGAGTATGGGTGTGAGTGTCGGCGTGGGTGTTGGAGAGGGTATGGGTGTGGGTGTGGGTGTTGGAGAGGGTATGGGTGTGGGTGTGGGTGTTGGAGAGGGTATGGGTGTGGGTGTG